AACCAAAAATTGCAGGTTGATAAATTATTCCTTCTTGTATAATCATATTCTAAAGAAATACTTTGTAATGTATTTACTGATAAATATTTTCCAATTAAAATAGAAAAACAACTCATCAAAATAATCTTTCAAAAAAGAAAAGGATCACAAATTAGCAATCATCAATAGCAATTTATTTACGAAATTAAGATAATTCTAAAGAATCACATCAAAATAATAAATAAAACAATATTATAACCTTGCTCTAAGTGACTGATAGTGAAGATAGTGATGATAATAATAGTACAAAAATATGCTGAATTTTCTTCCTTTCATTATTTTTTGATATCTTAATTTTAGAACTAATAGATCACTAATACAGCCAACTCTTGATATAGTGAACTCTTGATATAATGATTTTTGAATAAATATAATAAAAATACTCTAGTTATAGTGAATTGGCCAATCAAATCTCTTAAAATTTTCATTATAGCCTTATAGTAAAGTTGAGGTCTAAGACATAGAGTTTATTATAACAAGAGTTGACTGTATCAGAATTATATAAGACAAAAGAACATTAATAAAAGATAAAGAACTATCATTAATAATAGTATGAATGATAATGAGACTATTGTATCTTCTAGAAAAAAAGCAGGTAAAATTATGGTTATTGGCTTTAGGTTATTCATTAATTGTAAAATAATTTATTTCTGTGAATTTCAAGAATACCTAAGGCTTTTAAAAATATGACAACTATTTTTGAAGTTTGCCAATAGTTGATTTTAAAAAGACTAGATGTATTAATAATGACAAACTAAATGCATATAATGAATGTTTTGCTAGATTCATTTACCACTGCTATGGACCCTCAGACTGCTGTAGCGTTTAATAATAATTATGTAAATAGGTATAATTTTTTGTGATATACATTTATGATAAATATAGGCTATTAGTTTTATTTATAACTTTATTATATATAGGGGCTTGCCTATTTATGACATGAAGAGATTAAGTACTTTTTCTTTTAATGTAGAGATTTACCAGATGAAATTATAGAAACTCTTATCATTAAATATTTAAATATAAACTATATAGTGATAAAGCTATGAAGGTCTTATGCCACTCAAAACAAATTCTAACTAATTTTTGCAATAAATTCAATAAGAATATAGTATCATTAGTACAGGATTTTAAAAGCAAAATTTTAAGAAATGGCCAACAATTGGCTTTGACAAGAACTAATATTGATAAATTTATAACTCAAGACGTTGTTACTAAGAAAGTATTAAAAGATATTTGACAGGTATTAATATGAATAAGCTTAAAAGATGTAAAATGATAGATAAACTTGAAAGAAGTGTTCAAGATATGTCATAATAACTATAATATTTAAGCTGTCAAAAAAACTTGACTATCTTACAATCAATTGTAAAATTCTAAGTAGACCTGACAAGAATATTGTATCAAATATTTTTCTTTAAAAAGTTTATAAAGTATAGTATCTTTATTCTGTAATAGTATTTATGCTTTATTATTCTGTGTGAAATATTAAAATTTTAATTTTTTTTTTAGAACGTTGAAATTTATTTTCAAATAAAATTATTTTGACCTAACAAATTTTAATATAATAGGCAATTAAACAATATGTTGTTTTCAAACAATAAGCCATTTCAAATAATAGATTATGAATACTACATTTTTATTATGAAAATTTATATAATAGAGATTCTTATTATGTTGCAATTCTCAAATATTAAGGATGACTATATAATTCTCTAAATAATAAGGATTATTGTTTTGTGATTATTCTATTATTTTAGCAAAAATATGTAATTCTATTATACAAAATATTTATTTAAACTCAGAATTATAATGAATTTCAGATACTACAATATCAGAAAAAATGAAAACAACAATATTTGGAAATGGAATTTTATTAAGACAATTTTTTCAATTTTAATTTGCTTTATTTTCAAATTAATTATATAATTAAAGTTTTAATATTATGAATTATAGCATTTTTATCAAATTGAAAAATACATAAAAATAATGTTCTTAAAAAAAGATTATTTATCGCATCTATATAGCCAATGTAAAGTATCAAGGTAGAAAATGAAAATTATATTTTTTATAAACAATTAAATTCTTTAATAATTTTTGTATAATAACAATTTTTATTATTTAAACTAAAATATTCTAATACTAAAAATTTTTATCGTTTCTATATAGCTGATATAAAGTAATGAGATAGTAAATTGAAGGTGAAAAAATAAAAACGCTACTACAATTCAACTATGTAGTCATGTAATAGTCATATTATAGCGGTATTAAAGTCATAAAATCGGAGGTTTTAGTAATGCTAGTCAAATCTTAGTATTAGTATAATTATATTTTACTTTCTTATGATAATATTAGATTTAAAAAAATTATAAAAATATTTCTAGAAAGTTTTAAAGTATTGGTTAACTTACTTAATATTTATTTAGTTTTTTATTTAAATTATATAACTTAATAAATATTAGTAAAACTTCAATTGATTGTATTTTTAAATAGATTTAGATCAAAAAAAATTGTTTTTTCTTTATATTTACATTATAGAATAATTTAAGGTACTGTAATATTATATTATAAACGAAATAATTATTTTAAATAAATTACAATTTGTTAAATAACCTATTGAACAAAATAATAAATTTATTCATTTTGGATTTAAAGTTATTAAAATTATTGAAGATATAATAAATATAATTAAAATTATAGATAAAACTTATTTTATTTTGCAAAATACTTACAAAAGAAAATTATTTTTACTTTATAAAAAAAAGACATATTTTATATTATTAAAAGATAGTTAATTATTAAGATATTTTTATTAATTATTATGTAATTGACTTGAAAATATGCATAATGCAAAAATATACTAAATTCTTATTTTATTATTATACGAAAGAAAACATAGATGATAATGATCAAAATATGACATCAATTACTAGAAAATCATATATATCTTATACATCTTCTATATTATCTATAATATATTTCTTTTATATAATATATTTTATTTATTTATTTTATTTTATTTATACTATATATTTATTTTATTATATTTATCTCATATATTATATTTATTTCTTTTATTTTTTTGATAAACTTTATGTATTTTATTTTATATAAATAGAGAATTTTTTTTTAGCTTAACAGCGTACCTGATTCATATTTTCTTTAGATAGTTTTATTTTAATCTCTTTAATATACTTATATAGTACAAAGTGTTAACTGATGTAATACTTATTTGTTATTGTTATTAAAAAAACTATCAACTAATCAACACTTTTTTAAAAATTAATTATAAAACAAACCTTCTATTTACCATTTGAAAATATTATTTCACTTATCACTTATAAGCAACCTAAAGAACTAATTATAATATTATTCTAATAGATCAACTTTAATTAAAGAAAATAATTTTTTAATTACAAATAATATTTATTCTTTATTAACATTTTATATTAAATCATTTAGTAATCTAAATAAAACTTAAATAGAATTTAATCATATTTTTTCATCATATAAAATTGTTATTGAATTTTTATTTGATAGGATAAAAAATAGATTTACTGATTTGAGAGAAATATTTGTTAAAAAAATCTCAAATGTTATAATCATAATAAATTATTTTATTATTTATACAATTTCTTAGAATTATATGATAATGTATAAAAAGATCATGAAATTACTAATAATAGTAATAAAGATAATGATTTGTTAGTAATGAAAATTTAAAAGAGTAGGAAAAACAAAAAGAAATTGGATTCTGAGAAAATTATTTATATTATAATCTATAAAAAATTTATGATTAAATAAACAAAATAATAAATTTTCAATTTATAAATTTATTTTGATTGCTTCTTTATTTAAATGTATGAAATCTTTATTATAGAAAGGAAAAAACTACCAGAAAAAATTCTATTTTATTTTTATATGCTAAATATGATTTTAGATCAAATATATTCAGATTTAGCATTAACTCATTTTTTATTTTTTTCAGCTGTTTCTTCCTTTTCTATTGCAAAGGTCCTATATATTTATTATATTTGATCTTTATAATTAAATAACTATTCTTTGTACTTGTACTAATTGTAATTCTAATATTTTTTAATATTTTACAATATCCAAAAATTCTATCTATTATATTAAACTATTTCAATCAAAACTTATTTGATTATTCTCTCTTTATTCTTTCATACTTCTTTAATAAATGTTTGGTTTTACCTTTAATACTAGCACTAGATTTTGTTTTAATGATTCCAGTAAAAATTAAATTATACATGATAGTTTTTTTTTGTCTACTTGAAGTTTTTCATAATCTTCTTCTCAATATAATAATAATTTTAATGATTGTTCAGTTTTCTCATCACTCCATTTTTCAGTAATTTAAGATTCAATAACCTTTCACTTTTAATTAATATTTGTATATAATTTATCAATAATAAAGTTAACTATACTAACTATCAATTTCTCTGAACTTTGAACATTTATATTCAAATATAACTTCATCATTGAATAAATCAGCTTTTATTTGTAAAGAATAGTTATTAACTTCATATTCGCATGTACTGAATGGCATTATGCCACCAACTTCACTTTTTTATATGTATTGAATATTTGTCTCAGGACCAAAAAATTATTAGTTCTCATTACCTATTATACCGAAAAATGCGACTTATCAATTTTGAACAGGGTTAATGTTGCCTTTTCAAATCCTTCATCAATTGTATTATTATCCTGAAACTTTTTATCATTAAGTATTATTTTTTATTATTTTCTCGTTCTGTTTTTTTATTTTTTTTTAAAAAAAACTGATGACCGGAAGAAAATTGTTTTATTATTATTATTATTATTATTAATCCAGTATCCTTGTATGATTCTCTTAATAAGCCATCTTTAACCTAAAATTTGTATAGTTTGATTAGTTAAACGCGTCATAAAACATTAACATCAATACCATCATATTATCTTAATTACCTTGATTTTTTATTTTTTTGTCCCTCGACTTTAGAGGTCTCAACGTATGGCTCAAATACTCGCTTTTTCTTGTTTAATCTTTGGTATGTATGCGCACGGTAATACTCCTCCTTAACATGTCGCATTTCATTTGGTATTGAAGTGACCGAATTGTCCTTTTTTTGGTTATATAAATTTCTTATTTCTTCGATAGATGACATGGACTGAGCTTTAAGATATAATTCATCGTTTGTTGGTTGATATGGCTTCCATAAAGACGCGTCATAAGGTTTTATATTTCTTATAGAATCAGATTTCAATAATTCATCGCACCCATCACGCCATAATGTCTTTTGGTGTTTCAAAATATCCTCCATTGAAACACAAATTCCTGAATCTATTTCAATCTGATGCGAAACCGTAGCGCATTTCATATCAACTTCTTTTCGAAACACGTGATCGATATCTACACCCGCAAAAAATGCAGTAGTCTATTAAAATGAAATAAATCATTAATACGTCAAAGTTATTATTCAATAAATCATTTGAAATAACGTACCAGAGGAAGATCTTCAATACCCAACATATGACTAAACATTGCTCTAGTCCATAGATTACTAATCTGAAGTGCCAATGCGGCGCGATATGCGTCTTCTTCTTTAACAAGATAACGCACATCATCGTGAACAGATATCATAAAACGCGCATTTATCTTATATTTTTTAATCAAATATTTCATTGACACCAAAAGCAAATGAAGGTAATCAACTCCAGATGATTGAACTATCCAATTAATACGCGAGGTCATAAAATTTCGATTCACACTTGCAGATTTCAACGCATTAGTTATCCCACATCTCAAGACTGGAGTAACAGGTTCTGAAGAAGTTGCGATTTCTTCCAAACGATTTGCCAAGTAAGTCTCACTGCCTCCGAACCAAAATCTACGACCATTTTTACATAAACCATAACCATTCTGACCTTTTGTTTTATTGAATAGATTTTCCGCCCTCTCCTTAGCGTCTTCTATTTTCACGTTAACGAGGGAATTTTCAAGCATTTGCCAGACCGTCTGAATACCGGCCCCATATAATCTGCTGTAATTGAAAACTTTAGCGTCTTCTCGTAATATTCCCAAAATTTTAGCTGTTCTGGAATGTAAATCTGTACCATCAGATTTATTACCTTGAAGCATCATTAATCCCAGTCCAGTAGCACCATGATATCCAAACTCCGCATCACTTATCAAGCTTGATATCCACATTTCTTGTGAATCGACATCCGCTCCTATTATTTTATACCCTTTAGGTGCTTTGATCATAGATCTTTGTTCTGAACCTATCAAATATTCCTTGGGATTTGTTGCAACGGCCCAGGTATTTTCAACCATACGTCGTGTAATTGTTCCCATCGTTACAGTTTTCGGTAAAAGTATTCCAATGTTTTCATCATCACTCAGATCGAACCCAAAGTTGTATATTCCAGAGTCACCAGGATAAATTATCAGTTGAGACTTAATTCTATTTCGAATAGAAGTCCAATAGGTACAGGCCGCTCGAAACTTCAAAATTTTTTCGGCTGCTTTACAATCAGATTTCAAAGTACCATTTTCAAAATCCCCTATATATTTTTTAGAAAGTGGAGAACCACATCGATTAGTTTTTCCAACTTTATTTGGTATGCAATAATACAATCCACTTTTATCCTCTAAAAATCGAGCCTCATAGTGGGCATGCTCTGGTTGTGTAAGAAAATCGAGCGGTATCGAATGTGCTATAAAATTTTTATCCCCAATCGGAACACGATACACCCATCCGTATTGTTTTGAATAATGAACAGGATAATTTAACCATTTCAATTTCAACAAAATCGGTGCGATTCGACTTAAAGCAGTCACTCGAACCTTATTTGACTTTTTGTTATAGATTTTGCGATACCATTCCGGAAGGTCTTTACCATCGGTTCTCCAATTCAATTGTTTCAACCATGGATCACCTTCATGTTTGTTTCCTTCTTTCAAAGCTTTATCAGCCAATTCTCCTAAAGTTGATTCAATTGACTCATTTAAACTTTTATACGTCGTCTCAGAATTGCTTATAAACTTATCCCAATCCTTGTTCGTCGTTAAAAACATGCTTCCCATGTGAGCTACTCCCGCAAGAGATACCGGATGAGGACAAACATCTAGGAAGGTTGGAAATAATCTTTGAAATACTCGATGTACTGCCTCTACATTGTTTGCACAAGAAGCAATTGCTTGTTGTAAATTTTCCTTGTTCTGGAGTTCCTTAAATGTCCCATTGATAAATATGTCACGTCTTTGATCGTTCAAAAATTGACCGCAATAGAATTTATACAGGTCAGGTAAGTCACTAACCGAAGAGACATTATAAATTTTTTGAAAATCATTTTTTTGTAATAAATATTGTTCATCTTTGTTTTCAGTAGCCTTATGATATTTATTCCAATCATTTCGCATTCGAGAGCAAATGCCTCCAACTGCAATATGTAAAGACTTTGTGTCTAAATAATTAACGTTTGAACCGATGTAACGATATTCTTCTTTGACCCTTAACCGGTCAATTCCAACATCATGTCCAACGAATAACCTATTTTCGTTAAGGTTCCCAATCGGAATTAGATATTTTGAGTTATTATTATCATTGTTTATTAAACATGGAGATATCCAAGAATACCAAGCAGTAGAAGAAGCGGCGCAAGCTATTAATGGGTACTTGTAATCATCAAAAGTTTTACTATTAAAGCATAAAATAGTTTCATCTGGATGGTCTACAGCTTTAGGAAGTTTTCCTTCTTCATAACGCGTCCAACCCGGAGACAACATCCAGTTCGTTTTGGATGGCATCGCTGATAATCCCGTTCTTACAAGACGCATTGCCAAGTCTCGAATAGGATGTGCTTGCACTTCTCCGATCCTCCAGAAATGTTCTGAAATCGTTCTCCCACACAACTTTGGTAATTCGAATTGGCTTATATTAGGTATGTTATCATTCTTTTTCTTATAATGTACTTGTTTTTTTAAATGTTCCATCGATATATTTACAAGATTTTTTGGTGGAATAGGACGCGTTGTACGATTGAAAACTTGGCTGTAAAGCCAATCAGGAAGCATATCCACTCCTGCTTCATTGATAACTCCTATTTTTAAAGAGAAAAAAAAAAAAATTTTTTTTTTTCATACTTGAACATTCAAGCGAGCAATGTAATTCATGAGTATTAAAAAAATAATTTCAACGCGCTTACTCCGGGATTGTTTTTCCTGAAATTGTTGTCTTCTCTCTTCCAATTTATTTTCAATAGTATGCTTCTTAGATTCTATTTTCAACCTTTCATTAATTAACGTGTCAAGTTGTGGCACACCGGTAAAAAACTTATTCCAAGTGATTTTTTTAAGCCAATGGTCTGGTTTTGATAAAGAATTAGAGTGCACACTTTTATTATTGCCTTCAGTAGCTACATATCGTGAAGAAACGGATTGGAAAAGCTGACGTGTTCTGCATGTTCTGTTGTGAACGGATAAAGTTTTTGTTAATAAAATATTGAGTTGGCGCGTATTTGATAACATTACAAATTTTTTTTTGTATAGAAATTTCACGAACATCATGTATAAAAAAATTTTTCATGTCACGTGTAATCATGGAACGACGCGAGTGTCACCATTTCAACAACGCGACGCTGCGGACACATATTTATATTAATGGCGCAGCGATATTGCCCTGACGATCATGGAAAAAATTTTTTCACATCAATGGGGTAATTCTAATAAATAACAGGTTTACCGATTCCAATTAATTCTTGAAAATTTCGATGGAAGTCCAAGCGAAAAGTTTAAATTTTTTTGAAAATGAGATACAAAGGTAATATCTTATAGTCATAATAAGGCTAAGAATAAATTATTGACCTCCGTAACTATATCATTTTCAAGGAAAAGATAATGTATTCCATGAAAATTTGGATTAAGGAAGAGTCCCTTGAAACTGGGAAAAAATCAATCATCACTGTGGACTCGAACATATATAATACAATCGTTGATCAATATCAATTATTTTGTAATCATATATAGGTTAAACCAACATTTTCCTAAACTTTTTGTTTATTTTCGACACCATCTAGCATATTGCAAATACGGAAAATCTGATTAGATTTATTAGATGAGATTTCGCCGATCACTCATGGGATTATTATTAATTTTGTATTTCCGAGATCATCGTTTTCATAATTATTTCTATATTACTTTCATCCGGAAATGAAATTTATGTTTCAATAAACTCTTAAAAAGTTTGAAACGACAAATAACATCTTTGATTTTAGCTGTTTAGTAGTACATTCGGAGTATGGAAATCACGAGTATTTCAAAGTTGAACAATAATGAAAAGTAATCATTATATTTACTAAGGCCAATAGATAAAAAAAAAAAAAAAGAAATATAATTTGGGAATTTGATTAACATCAAATATACCAGTATTTATTTGTTAAGGAAAATTAGATAATCCCCACAAATAATGATCAACTTGAATTAAATTGATGAGACTAAATAGATGAAATTTTTTTTTTGCTTTGTCATCTAATACGCCCAGACGCAAAAAATAGGTGGGTCAGCCTCTTGAAAAAAAAAAAAAAAAATAATTCATCGTGAGAAAAAAATACGATTGATCGGCGTAATTAAAAAAATTTATTTAATTATGCAACTAACCGCCATAATACATAACCCGCGTTACCTACTATAAATTCACATACAAGACAAAAAAAAAAAAAAAATTTTTTTGTTTGAATTTCCCTCTTCTTTGGATATAAAATATGTCAACATTAGTATCCTCCTGTGCTGATAATGGGTCTTCACATAACCCAATATCACATCTCTCAAACAGATTCTTTCAAGACGCAGCTAGTATTGCTACAGCCTCTTCCTCAAGGGCACTTTTATCAAATATCGAACAAGGGAAGAGAAATACATCAAATTCTTTTCGTTCTTATTCAACATCTACGCCAGAAAGTGACTGGTTAAAAGGTGATAATGGAGAATGGAACCATTTGTTTCAACAGAATGTTCAAGGTCGCGAACAGTATTCAAAAGAGTTTGTAACTAGTTCATTTATGTCAGAAGAAGATAAAGAGGAGGAAGAATATCGACAAGAATGGAGTGATGAAAATTTCACCCAAGTTTATGTCAAGCAAAATGGTTTAGACAAATTACACAATAATATTAGAACGCGACGAAATTCCTATTCTTCGCAAACAAATTCGTTTGTTCAAGAGTTTTTACAAAATTCATCAAATGATACCGTAAATTATCATCAACAATCAACCACCATCTATACAGATCATTGTGATTTGTTTCAAGCTCAAATTTATCTCCTTGATCACCTTTTTTCCACCATTTTAACATATCCAATTTCAACTTATAGACCTTCACCAACAACTGAATGGAATTGGAATAGATTGTTTTCTCCAACGCGTTGGTGTGATAAAGAAGAGGAAGAAAATGATGACGATAAACCATTACGAAACGAACTTCTTAAAAATGTCGCGATTGGTAGATTACAATTATTGTTGGGACATTTGATAGTTTGTACTGATAATGAAAATAGTAATAAACAAAAGGAAGAGTCAGGGTGGGGGTGGGAGTGGGAATTTTATAATTCTTGAGAGTAAATGTTGTTTGTCAAAGGATACTGTTATTATATAAGAGAAATTCGAAGATGATTCTTTTTTTCTGTTTTCAAATATTTCGTACATAATATAATATTCTAAACCATCTAGATAGATCAATCAGATAAATTAATTATTACCTCTACCGTTTTCTTTTTCGAATACTTTGTAAATAAATTACTATCATTAATGTTTATGATATTCTAATATAATGTTATTACAAAATCTTTAAATAGAAAAAAAAAAAAGATTTAATTTACAGTATTTAAATTTTTCCAAATGGTATCAGCCACAATTCCTGAAAGTACTATAGCCCCGGTCCATTTATTACTGCGAAATTTCCGACCACAATCGGAGACATCATCAAAGTTGACGGTCCGAAGCTGCCAGGCAAGGTGCGACCCAGCTCCCATTACCGAAATAATATAAAACGGATAATCATTTCCGTTCATATATCCAGCTAACGTTAGAAAGGATAACATTGAACCCGAAAAAAACGTGAGCCAATGTCGTGTCTTGTCTCCAAAAAGCAGAGCAGTCGACTTTACGCCAACCATGAGATCAAATTTTTTGTCCTAAATATATTACGGCAATATCAGTTTCAAGCGTATTTAAGTATATACGAGATCCGATTCTTATGTCACCTGATGAGCGTATATGGTGTCATATATTAACGTCCAACAAACTCCTGCTGTATATAATGGAAGCGTGACAGACCACTCGCTACTGCCAATCATCGCAGGCCATCCTAACAAAGCTCCCCAATTAAAAGCCAGTCCTGAAGAGTATTATATATAAAATGCAATTAAAATTTCCGAAATTTCATAAAAAATATCAGATAATCTTATTTCGTACCCAGGTACAATTGCGGCCAAAACGTGACGCGTTTCATAAGTGGATATAACGTCACCATACTCAGAGAAGTCGCTCCAAGAAAGATACTATGAAAAAAAAAAAATCATCAAATGAATTTTAAAATATTTGTTCATGAACATTTTTTAATTCCTTACCTATACCAATTGAATTGAGTCAATACGGCTAATCCTGCTGATAATTGAATTCCCAAGAAGGTTAATGCCTGGAAAGGTTTTACAACTCCTGAAGCAAGGGGTCGATTTGCTGTTCGTTCAACTTTACTATCAATTTTTCTATCCCACATATCATTTATCGTACATCCTGCCCCTCTCATAATAAAAGCCCCAACACCAAATAATGCCAACGTATATATCGTTTGTGAAACTGGCAATTGGGCATGATATGTTGCCATGGTAATACTCCATGCTATTATATTAAAATCAACGAATTGAGGTAAAAATTATGAGGTCAAAAAAAAAAAACAAAAAAGAAAAAAATAAACTTAACTGCATGGTAGATATAGAAGCCATGTTCCTATGGGTTTATCTAAACGAGCTAGAAGTGCATAAGGTACAAGTTTAGAGGGAAGATAGGTGTCAAGCAAAGAAGAATAAGTTGGTAGAGTTTCCTTATACTTTTCTTCACTTGCCGGAAACTTATTATCGTCCTTAATGTTTGAAACAAAACGATATACGGAAGTGTTTATTTTAGGTCGATTAAACTTCTTAACTGAAAGGTTTTGAATCGAATTTACTCTTAATTTACGAGAAATTTTCGTAAACAAAAATGAGTTGCGACAAAATGTCATTATTGTTTGGAAACTGTATTTTATTGAATATAATTGATTATAATCCGAATTATTGTATTATTTGAATAAAAGGGCAATTAAAAGATCTTTGGATATATTACGAGAAATCACACTGATTGTCCAAGTGAGTGATTTATGTATTGTTCCCAAAGACGGAGGAAATTTAATATATAAAATAGGCAGGTGTTCATTGGTTGATTGTTGATCGTTGTACAAGATCTTTGTCAAAGGACTTCAAGTGATTATAGTGCAAATTTTTAGCCTTTTCATTTAAAAAATGCTACATGAACTGCTCTTGACTTTATCTGGGCTATCTGGTGACTTGTTTGTTCCGTACCCTTCAGAACCGGAAACAGCAACTACTTATAAAATTCCACCAGAGTTTCCGTTCTTACACGAAGCTGAAAAAAGTTCTTTAGAACGACTTGCTGCTTTGGGTTTTTATTATCGAAAGTTAACCAACTTTCTTGATAAACAACGCGGCAGAAATGAAAACAATGAGAACCATGGCTCTGTTGGGCTTCAGAAAGACAATGAAACCTCTCTAAAGAGTACTCCACATGGCTCTTTCATACACGCCCTATGTAACGCCATAAATGAAGTGTTAGCAGACTTTCATAAAACTATTATTGAATCCGAGATAAGGATTCTGAACAAGGAAGACAATATGGGTGGAGTCGTTCCAATTTCACAATTGGTTTCTGCTTTTAGTGAATATTATATCATCCTTCCACATCTTAGTCAGTTAATACTTGACGTTGAAAATAATCCTGTAAAATATTTCGGTTGTCGAATACTTAATTTGATCATTGACAAATGTAATACAGGTGTGCCAGAATTACGAGAAATCATGTTGAAATTACTTCATGCATGTCATGAAGTGATGTTTAAACATATTACTTCATGGATGGTATATGGACAATTGGTGGACCCTTTTGGAGAATTTTTTATTAAAGATAGAACATTACAATATAATCCAATCGAAATACAAGAACAATTTAGTCAAACTAAATGGCATCGACGTTTTATCCTTGACGAATCTTTTATTTCAAATAATCTTCCTAATGATGTTGCCAAATCAATTTTATTTGTTGGAAAAGCAATTGCAACCGTTAGAAATTCAACCAAACCATATGAGAAGCATAGCAAATTTCCGGATAAACTTGCTTCATTACATTTACAATATTTATTGGAACTCTCGTCAAGACCGATATTTCATCAAATTGAGCTCGAAAACATTGTTAATATTATTCGTAATAATGTTGCTCAATGGTTATGGCAAGTAGTTTTGACGGGTGATAAAGTTGTGGAATGTCTTGAAGCTTTTAAAAATTATTTCTTACTCGGTCAAGGTGATTTTGCAACTTCACTTGTTGAACAATTTGAAAAACTGTCAACTTCAAGACTTACCTCCAAAAGAATTCCATTGATTAAAGAACAAGAAATGAATTCTTTATTGGTTCGAGCTTCTGTGGGTACATTAGCAGAAAAAGATTTATCATTTGAAAAATTTAGATTTAAAATACCAAACACAAATGAACAACAATCCTCAAATGCAATTAGCATGTTTGATGATATCCTCATAGGTGTTCCACTTAGATTTGAATACGATATTGGCTGGCCTCTTGATTTATTTGTTACTTCTGAAGATCTGTCCAAATACGGAGACATTTTCTCATTTTTGATTTCCCTTCGTCGTACCCAATTTAAACTTCAAAAAGTCTGGGCTCGTCTTGCAGCAAATGTAAAGAAGGAAAGAAATTACAAATTTTCTAAAAGAAATAAAAATGTGATGATAATGCCATGGAATGTTCGCGCATCTATGATGTTTTTTGTGGATTGTTTATGGGCTCACGTGCAGGTTTAAATGATTTTTTATCATCATCTCATTTATTGCTTTTAACCACTATACATACGTACGCTTTGCTTATTTATTAACAGATGGACATTATTGAATCAAACTTTCAAAAACTTGTTCATCGAATCACCATTTCTTCTGCACATCATCAACGACAAAGATCATCATCAATAACTGAGCAGAGTCCTCCTAGCAACGAGTTAGAAAGATTACGTGATTTTGAGGATATCAGATTAGGTCACGCTTCATATATAGGGGAATTGTTACGTGGATGTTTGCTTGAATCTCGCGTGTGCACAGAATCTATTAGAACAACTTTGAAAATTGTTGACAAATTCTGTATATTATTGGATGGGACAATTGACATTGAGGAAAAATTAGAACAAATAGCTAAATATGATGCGGTAATTATCTTTAATTTATGAATCTGCGGATGCATCTTTAAAAATTTAATATCTTATTATTTGTTTCTTTTTCCAAGGAATTTCGGGAACAAGTAATGTTTTTGTTTCGAACACTTTCTGGGGTAAATAAAACGGGAGAAGGTTTTGGTGGACCGCCAAGACATCTGGATCAATTATTACTACGTTTAGATTATAGTAAATGGTTTTCAAATTACTTATTAATTCGTCTATAATTTTAATAATAAAACCGATTGGTAAATAGAGATGATAATTGAATATATTATGTAGAAGTAAATTACAACAAAGCGACCCTTTAAAAAATTTTTTTTTTTTTTTGAAAAGTATTTGTAGATAGACATCAATTTTTTATATAATTTCGATATTAACAATTAATTTAGCATTATATATTTGAGGTAATTAGATTATAATATTTAGCATATTTTATTAAAAAAAAGGGTTTTAAAAGAGATAATTAAAAGAAAAAATGAAAAAATATAATTTCCAATATTTTTATAAATTAATATAATAAATAAAAACTTAGGTTAAAACATAAACCAAATTATTTGGTAAATATTAAAAAAGTATACTTATACTTTATTATAAACTTATATAAATTTATAATATAAATTTATATAAACTTATTTATAGTTTTCTATTTAAATTTAAACAGAAGTTTACTTATTAATTTAAATATTAAAAATTATTTATCAAAAAAAAATTTTAGTATATATTAAAAGTTTATATTTTATAAAATTTTAAATATTTAAATAATATATATTTATCAAAAATCATAAAATTAAAATTAAAAAATTTTGTATATATTTACTTTATGAAATTCAAAGTTTAGAAAAAGATTATAATTTATAACATTCTTAGATTTCTGATATAATTAATATTACTAAATTATTCCTCTCAACTCAAATTTCAGCTTTAGGTTTTATAGATGATTCAAATTGAATTGCTAATTTAAAAAAGAATATATTAAATATTACAGATAAATTATATAGTATAATAAATAGAAATAAATTACAACTTCTAATTAATACAATCTTTTTTTACATTACAATTTAAATCTAATCACATTAATATTAGTCTTAAATTAGAATCAGTTTGCTTTTAAAAGGTTAGATTAATAGTAGTATTTATCAATTTTCATTAAAATCAATAATAATACTAACTTAAAATCAAAAGTATTAATAAAAAAAAAATAATTGATTTATATATTAGATATAATGCTATTTTTATTAATTAAATATAGTCTTCAATTAACATTTTTTTTTTTAAAGAGTATTGTTTTATATTAGTTTTTTTTATATAATTGGTTAAATATAATTAAGGTTGCTGAATAAAACCTAGAGATTTTACAAATCGTTTAAATGAAAAAGATAAAATTTAGCAAATTATATTAAAAAATCTGTTCTAAAAAAAGTAGAACTATATTAAAGTTTGTAAAATGCGAAATTATATTAAAATCTTAGTAAAAAATTAGAGAGTTTAGGTAAGCAACCTTAAATATAATTTATTTTATTATATTAACATCAGATTGTATTTTTAAAAATAATATTTTTTATAATATAATGACCTTTAAATCTAATAATTAAAAGCTATTAATAGTACTACTTTACTAATTCAATAATTTAATTCAAAATCTTATATAATACTACTTTAAAAATTTAACTTTTTTAATTCTAATTTTAAATTTCTTTATATGTATTACTACTTGTTTATTAAAATCATTCTTTTAATAGATTCTTTTATTCTAACATTATTAAAGCAATATTTAATTAATTGAAATATAATATTATGAATATTAATTTAACATAAATTATTTACTAGTTAATTAAATTATAGATATTTCTATTATCTTAGATCTTTTGAAATTTGAAATTAAAAAAGAATTTTAAAATACTATTGAAATTTTTTTGAATCAATATATAAATAAAAAAAATACTTATCTATTAAATTAAAAAATATTATTTACAGATAAAGTTGTTAGGTAAAGCCTAGAACTTTTGCAAGTTATTTAAATGATAAAAGATAAAATTTAGCAAAATTATATTAAAATCTTATTAAAAAATATACAAAATTCTGAAAAAGATAAAATTATATCAAAGCTTAATATTTAATTTAATAAAATAAAATATATTAAAAAGCTAATAAATATTATTTTAAAATTAATTATAAAAAAATTTAATATCAAAGAATCTATTTTATTAAAAAATTGAATAATAAATTTAATAAATAAGTCTTTTACATATATTATATTGATCTCTTATCAGTATAGGTAAAATTCTAATGTTTTCTTAGGATTTAAACATATAAAAATTGATTTAACCAATCAGAATCCTTGTAAATCGACCAATGGTGATCGACCGGAAATGTAATTATTATCCTACTCGACAATCATTACACAAACTTTTCGTCCAATCAAATGTGGGTACAGGGACCTATATACCGTTCCTATTCAAGAAACCTTCTAAAATGTTCCATTTTACGTCATTCTCATTCAATCTAACATAAACAAGAAAATGATAGAATATAGTAGAACATACTGGATAGAATTATTAACAATATTTACCACACCTCAATGGAATTTTGGCGTATGTTAATCTATTTAAAAAAAGTCTAAAATTTTTTGATGAACATATGAAATTACACAGAGTGTGAAAAAGTTATGATATGATGTCGAAATCGAACTTGCTGGAAAGATATTCGTAATTGGTGAAGCCCCATTTTTCTTAAGTTTCTTGATATATAAAAAGCAAGGTTTAAGCTTTTCCAATACAAAAATAAAAAAAATATTTTTTAATTTTTATTTTTATTTTTTTATATTCGAAGAAAAAAAAACCTTTTTATTTGCTTTGAAATCTTTTTACACGAGAAAAAACCTCCCTTTTATATAGTTGGTAACACTATACAAATATCATAATGTCGGAAGGAGCAGCAAAGGTCCCAGAGGGGAAAGCTGGTATGTATATTCAAATAAAGTTTCTTTTTCCTTTTTTTTTTTTTTTTGGACACGAAGACTTGACCTAAATAACAAAAAAATTTTTTTTTTTTTGGAATTTGATAACTTATAGTTGGTATTGATTTGGGAACGACATATTCCTGTGTTGGTGTTTGGCAAAACGACAGAGTTGAAATCATTGCTAATGACCAGGGTAACCGAACGACACCTTCATACGTTGCTTTCACCGATTCAGAACGTCTTATTGGTGACGCAGCAAAAAATCAGGTTGCTATGAATCCTTATAACACGGTATTTGACGCTAAGCGTCTCATCGGTCGTAATTTCAGCGACCAAGAAGTTCAATCCGATATGAAAGTATGTATTATCTATCTTTTTATTTAAAATTTTTAGATTGTCATAGAAATACTAACGATTGACGCAAAATTTTTCCGATGTTTCATTAGCACTGGCCCTTTAAAGTCATCGACAAGTCTGGAAAACCATATATTCGAGTCGAATTCAAAGGAGAATCTAAAGAATTCACACCAGAAGAAATATCTTCCATGGTATTGATAAAGATGAAAGAAACCGCAGAGGCTTTCCTCGGTAGTAAAGTCCAAAATGCAGTAATTACGGTTCCAGCTTACTTCAATGACTCTCAACGTCAAGCGACAAAAGATGCCGGAATGATCGCTGGTTTAAATGTTCTTCGTATAATCAATGAACCAACCGCAGCAGCTATCGCTTATGGATTAGATAAGAAGGCCGTGGGTGAACGAAACGTTCTTATCTTTGATTTGGGTGGTGGAACTTTTGACGTTTCTCTTTTAACGATCGAAGAAGGAATCTTTGAAGTAAAGGCCACTGCTGGTGACACACATCTTGGTGGTGAAGATTTCGACAATCGACTTGTTAATCACTTTGTACAGGAATTCAAGCGTAAATATAAAAAAGATCTCACGACCAATGCACGTGCTCTCCGTCGATTACGAACTGCTTGTGAACGGGCAAAACGTACACTTTCAGCATCCGCACAAACTTCCATTGAAATCGATTCCCTCTTCGAAGGTATCGATTTCTATACATCCTTAACGCGTGCCAGATTTGAAGAATTGAATCAAGACTTGTTCCGATCTACAATGGAACCCGTCGAAAAAGTACTTCGAGATTCTAAAATTGACAAAAGTTCAGTTCATGAAATTGTTTTGGTCGGTGGTTCAACACGTATTCCCAAGATTCAAAAGATGGTTTCCGAGTTTTTCAATGGTAAAGAACCAAACAAATCCATCAATCCTGATGAAGCCGTAGCTTATGGTGCTGCTGTTCAAGCTGCTATTTTATCTGGTGATACTTCTGAAAAGACTCAAGATTTACTTTTACTCGATGTCGCCGCCTTATCTCTCGGTATTGAAACTGCTGGTGGCGTTATGACACCACTTATTAAGCGTAATACTACAGTACCGACTAAGAAATCTGAAATTTTCTCCACATATTCCGACAATCAACCCGGAGTACTCATTCAAGTTTATGAGGGTGAACGTGCTCGGACTAAAGATAATAACTTACTTGGAAAATTCGAATTAACTGGAATTCCTCCAGCACCAAGAGGTGTTCCACAAATCGAGGTCACCTTCGATATTGATGCAAACGGTATCTTAAACGTATGTATTTAGGAGATTTCGAATTTTATTATCAACATGAATTCTTGTTCTTTTTGTTAAATATTAATTTTTTTAATTGTTCTCTAGGTATCGGCTGTTGATAAGACAACCGGAAGATCAAATAAGATAACCATCACGAATGACAAGGGTCGTCTATCAAAAGAAGAAATCGAACGTATGGGTATGTAATCCAAAATCCATAATTTTTTCATTATTATTTGTCGTGAAACAATATTTATGCACTGAAACTAACACATCTTTATAATAATAGTTTCCGAAGCCGAGAAATATCGTGAAGATGACGAGAAAGTTGCACAAAAGATACAGGCACGAAATGGTTTGGAAAGTTACGCATATAACTTACGAAACACACTTCAAGTAAGTTTTTTTTTTTTTATTTAAATTATGTTATAAATAAAAATAGATAATGATATAATATTAATTTCAAATTCAATAGGACGAGAAAATTGCTGGTAAACTTGACCAAGGAGACAAGAAGAAGCTTGAAGATGCTATCCAAGAAGCAATTACATGGCTCGAAAATAATCAAGAGGCAGAGAAGGAAGAATATGATCATAAACAGAAATCACTTGAAGAAATTGCCAATCCAATAATGATGAAACTTTATGGTAGCGCAGGCGGTCCTCCACCAGGCGCTGGAGGAGGTTTCCCACCAGGTGGTTTCCCAGGTGGTGCACCTGGAGCACCTGGAAGCGCTGAAGAAAGCGGACCAACAATCGAAGAAGTTGATTAATTTACGTTTACAACCATCCAATTTTCATTGCTAAATCTTGCTATAAAAAAAAAAAAAATTTCAAACCAAAACCAAAATTTATATAACTACTACTATATAAACTTTCTTTCTTTCTCACCCATTCATACTCCTCGTTTTTTAAAAGCAATCCGAACTAATAACTAGAAAAATAATTAGTAAAAAGGTTTATTTGTTTGAAAAACTTTTGAAATTAAAAAGCATTTGCGCGATAGTAGAGTTTTATATAATATGTATAATGTTTCAATAATCAATTATAAATTTGAAAAACAAAAAAAAATAAAAATAAAAAAAATATAAATCATTCTCGTATTTGCATTTATTAATAAAATTTTATACTATGTGTTTTATTGGTTAATAATGATTGATTTTACAGTATTTATTTATCCATTTCGATTTCGTATGAAGGTCTAACATCAATTGGTATTTTGGCAAGTTCTAAAATAAAAAAAAAATGAAAAAAAAATAATGATATAAAGAATCGAATTATGATAAATTAATTACCTAAACTTTCCAAAGCACAATTTACTTGTTCAGAAATTTTACCATATTTTGAAATAAAAAGTGCGACACGTGATTTATCGCCATCTCCTTGCATTATTAAAATCTCTCTCGTCAAATTTGATACAGCTTGGGATACCTTAACGAAATTAACGGAAAATCTTTTTGACTTTTCATCATATTCAAATCCTCCTTGTTCTAAAATATAATTAATCTGAATACATTGACCCAATCCATGAGCCTTAAAGGGAAACAAAAATAATATATTAGAGAATGATTGCGTAAATTTCTTTTTTTTTTTTTTTTACGTATCACACCTCATTAATACCGAAACGAATTGATCTAAAAGCGGATGCAAGGTATGTCACATAAAATTGTTCAAGAGAAGGTGCAGTCAAAAGTCCCTTTTTAAGTAACAATTCTGCAGCAAATAATCCGGTTATATCTAACGATAATAAAAGAGTCGATCAAGTGTTTTTTTTTCTTTGTAAACTGTAATAGACAAAAAAAAAAAGTACCAGCTTTAGCTTCTTCGATGACAGAATAAAATTCTTGCAATCTGGATCGAACAGTTTCAGGATTTGGTCCAATAGTATAATGAGGTCCATTAGAATGAGCCACTTCATGAAGAAGTATGTGAGTCTGTATGATATAATATAAAAGAATAAGAAAGAATATCAATATCAATATCAATATATATATATATAAAAAAAAATTAAAAAAAAAAAAATTTATTCATTTACGAAAAACGCGTCGAAACACAAATGTTGAATTTGATCGTGACCAATTGTCAAGTGAGCGATTGGAACCAAAATCTTTTGATATTTTCCTAAGATTAATATAAATATATACACAAGTTAATTTACCTTGTATTAAAAACATCATTTATAAATTTATATATATCATACCTTCTTGAACGTTCTTTATGATTACTAATTTACTGCCTATACGCTTGACTTCTTCCTAAATACAAACATATATTAGAATATGCCTCATGATTAACAATTCGTAATGTTCTTTTCACATTACATCGTTTGGAAGATTATAAGCAGCGGTCATTGGAACTGCAACGTCTCCGGAAGCGTATAATTGATTTACTACGACGATTGGGGTAGCTTTTAATTTTTTATTCTTATATTCATCAGGAACAGGTAAGTGATTTTCAACATATTGCAAACTATTCGAAAATTTTTCCAAAGTTTTAGAAAATGGGAAATCACGTGCATGAATATAAAAATTAAATGCACTTTTAGCGGAAAATAGTTCATCAGTATACACTTCGTAGGGTCCGACGGTAACTATAAATATTTATAAGAATTGTAATAAATCTCATTCGTAAAGAGTGTGAAAAATAAAAAATGCTTACCTTCGATTTTACTTTCTTTACTAATGTTAAGCCAATCCACTTCACTTTCAAAATAATTGTTACTTGAAAAAGCATCAGCTCTACTTTTCAAAAATTTGCTTAATGAATCATCATCAACTAATCTAGAACTTTCTTTCAGGAGAATAGATACATCACATAATAAATCTTTATATTCAATTGAATACGGATTTGAATACAGTTCCCCAGTATCTTCATTTCTTTTAATGACGTGATAAAATCCATTAGCATCCTTTTGTTCTTTTGGTGATAATTTTTTAAGCCAATGATTAAATTCATCTTTGGTCATATCTTCAGGATAAAAATTTCCCCCGAGTGGTTTATGCTTAGGAATATTTGGTGGATAAGGTAATGTATATCCATCAACTCTATCCCACGGTCCTTTCATTAATTTAAAAAATAATATAGCATTTTCATCACGTGGAGTTGCCGATAATAACTGCTCTAATAGAGATTCATTTCTCTTCCACTTTTGACGAAGATAAATTCTTTAAAGAAAAATTTTTAAATTTTATTTTATTTTATTTAAATAATTAAATCATTAAAATACATAAACGATTCTTTTAAATCTTATAAACCTATCAATGATCCTTCCAGCTGCAACCAATTTTTCTACGGCAACTTTTTCATTATTTGTAAAATCAGACAAATCGGCTCCTAATGATATTGGAGCATATTTAGCAATTATTTCACTAATTTCTCCACTAGAAGACATGATGGATTATAATTTTAAAATGAAAACGAAAAAATGACGAACGAAAAAGAGCCTGGGAATTTTTCTACTTTTAAATTAAATTTGATAGATATCACCGGACGTGACATTTTAACATAAGATTGATTATCTTCGATGATCATTTGAAATTAATAATACAATAAATAATAGTTTATTAAACTTATGAAAACACTGTCATTATTATTATTACTCATTTGTGCGTTTAATTCCATAAA